TTTATTAGGGTTAAAGTTTAGGATTTAGAGTTTAGGTTTAGGGTGTAGGGTTTAGAGTTTAGGGTTGAGGTAAAAAGAGATATTGTTTTACTATATGAGTTAAAAGGTATTTATTTATGGGCTATAAGTTTTAATCAAATCTATGCTATTTATTTATTTAAATGTAATGACTATAATTTGATGTAAAACTTATTAGTTTTATATAGTGTAAGCATATCCTGCCCTATATAAGATTATGTTGAAAACATTTTGCTATTTTGGTATTTGTATTCATTTCTCAAGTGTTCTTATTTGTTCTTGAATTGTGCAAACACATTCCTTGTGAGGTTTTTATAAGTTTGCAAATTTGTAATTTTTCTCTTTGAGAGAGTGTCTCAAGAATTTGAGGTATAATTCTTGAAAGAGTTGTAAGGTTACACCTTATCCTCAAAGGTAGATACAAATTAGTGAATTTGTGAAAATCCTGGATAGCTAAGGTTGTGGACGTAGACTTTGGTTGATAAAGTCGAACCACTCTAAATTCTTGTGTTCATTCGTTTTAAATTTTTTCTCTTAAGCTTCCACAAAATTTTAATTGTCAATTCACCCCCTCTTGAATAGTTCATCATTCGATTGACTCAAAAGATTATGATCTATTTACATTGCGTAAAATTGTTTTAATTTTATATAGATCTAGAATCGTTTAATGAGTGAAAATAGATGGCTGAGATTAACTTCTTGTTTTTTTTTCTAGTAAATATCTTCTTGTTTCCTACTGTTAATCTCGCTCATCTATTTTCACTCATCCAATAGTCTTAAATTCGTGTAAAACTAAAAACTTTCGCATTGTGTAAAGAGAGGGAGAGATAAGAAGAATAAGAAATGAAATTGAAAATTAAGAACTCACCATTCAAAGTAGAACCATTCTTCAAATTAATGCAATCCTAAGGATGTCTATGTGATGAAGGAAGATGATCCCAAAGCCCAAAGTGTAAACCCTAAGAAGAAATTCAACCAAAAGACTTGATTGAAATCTCTAGGACCACATGGGTACCCTACAACAACTTGCATGGTGGTGGACGCAAAAGGAAGGTAGATTAGTTGCCATGTCTCTTACTCTCAACTACATACACAGTTGTAAAAAATCCAACTCAAAACGGATTACTTGTGAAAAGTTGTGTGAGTAGTAGTACCCCAAGTTGGGTATATCAACCCCTAAAATCACGACCCATGTCCTTGTTGAATATTAACCATGCCCATTAATCATTATAAATCTTCATGTACCATAATCTCTCCTTTTATGGTCACAATATGAGCGGTTGAATTTGTCCCGAAAAGCCGGACTAATATTGTTGTTGATTGTCAATATGGACAGAATGAAGATTAAATATCGGAAGGGATACAGATTTATCATGTATTCAAATATAAAAGTTAGAAGGGACAAAGACCTTATTTGATTAATATTTCAACTAACAATGACCTAAAATATTATTCTGTAAAAGAAAAATCTGGGAGTCGCCTTTCCTCCCATCCAACAAATGACTTCTACCCTTATTGTCAAGTGTGTCGAGTAATAAAGATAGAGGTATTTGTTTGTGAATGGTGAATGGTGAATGGTGAATGGTGATCGTTTGTGATGAAGATGGGAGCATTTAAGGTAGCTACCTCCCCCACCGAATCAACACTTAGTTGGTGGGGAATAAATGCTTAGGACTCCATTCAATAACTCGTATTGTTGCTCACCATTTTTGTTGTTACATGACATTAAGGCAATTAATCAACTAAATATGACAAGGGTAATTAAAGTTTTTTTCTTCAATTTGTTACTATTTTAGTTACTTCGCCGTTAAATAATTAATAGTGTTATGATTAAATATTTTCTTTTAATAATTATAAACGGTCTCAAAACTTTCTCCATTTTTGCCCTAATTTCGATTTCTTGATGATGAAGCACGTTGGGGGTGATAGAGAAGGAGGAATTGATTTGTATATCTCGATTGTATGTTGTTTGGATAGTGGATATTGTAGATTGACGTGGTTTCATTAGTTTGTGTTTATGATTGATTTTTATGAGTTTTAAATAGAGAAGACGTTGGAAAATGGTAATTACATCACCCACGTGACACATTGATGAAACTGTACAACTTTCATCTACTTTCATATTTGGAGAAATAAGATAAAAAAAGGAGGGGAATGACATAAAAGACACACGGTTTCATGTCAATAAAAAAATAGTCTACATCAGCATGTGTAATTGTTATGTCATACTTCCATTTATAATTTAACATTCGAGTGATTAAAATAAGAATAAATTAAAAATTCACTGACTAAATTGAAAATTTTAAAAATTTTGGTGACTAAAATAGAAAAGATAAAAAAGCTAAGTGATAAATTATTAAATTTACCCAAAATTAAAATAATATTAGTACTACCAATTAATCTAAAATTTAAAATAATAATTACAAAATGGTAAAAAGTAGTTGCTATATTTTAATTTTGGTGGGAAAAAAAGTGAAAAATAGGATTGATGGAAGACAAGTCATATGATTGGAGGGAATAAAAGATATAGAACGTGCATGGCCATTGGCAATGACATTAATCATTGTGGCATCTTTCATTGTGTTTGGGACACCCTCACACACAAGGCAAAATGTTATTTTCACTTACCCGTATTTAATCATTAATATCTGATTTATTAATTAATTAATTTAAATTGAATATTACAGATGTGAAAGCAACCATACGAATTTTTTATAAGATTATATTTAGGATTTTATTCAGAATTTTTTTTGCATCTAAAATAAATTATAAATATTGTAACATGAGACAAGCCATTTAAATTTAATAAAATAACTTCAGTGTCCGAAAATGTCTTATAATATACGATTTTAACCAACGTTTTTTGGATTTGCGAAAATGACCAACAAATTCGCAACGGGAACTCCAATTTCGCAACACAGGTTCCAAAATCGCAACGCGAAAGTCAAATTCGCAACGCGAATAGTTAAATCGCAACGATAATATGTAATTCACAACGCGAATAGGTAAAGCGCAACGATAATATGTAAATCACAACGCGAATTCTCCAAACTCGCAACTCGAATTTCGCAACGCTAATTACCGATATAGGTAATTAGCGTTGCGAAAACAAAATTCGCGTTGCGGTTTTCCAAATTCACAACTTGAATTTCTCAACGCTAATTACCGATATAGGTAATTAGCGTTGCGAAAATGAAATTCGCATTGCGCTTTTGGAGAATCGCATTGCGAAAACGAAAATCGCGTTGCGATAGTATTGTTTACCTATATCGGTAATTAGCGTTGCGAATTTGACTTTCGCGTTGCGATTTTGGAACCTGTGTTGCGAAATTGGAGTTCGCGTTGCGAATTTGTTGGTCATTTTCGCAAATAAAATTTTTTTGGTTAAAATCGTATATTATAAGACATTTTTGATCACTGAAATTATTTTCTTTAAATTTACGAGTATTTGATCATGCATGAATATTTGAATAAAAACTTTTAAAATAATTTTAAAGTATTCGAGTGAACAAAATATCCCTAAACAAGACTTACATCTTCCGTTAAAGGTATCTATATGAAAACACGATAGTTTTTCGAAGATGTAGGTCTTGTTTAGAGAATGTCCCTAAATAAGACCTGCATTCACCGTTATTTTGAATTTAATTTAAATTGATTAAATTAATGAAATTATAAATTTTGGGAATAAAATTATGCAATATATTATTCTTATAAAAATATTACATTATTTAAGAAATGAGAAGTATAACATTCTTTTGCTTTTTCAAATAATATTTACTATTTATAATTTTTATATTTCTATCATCATATAGTCTTATGGAATTAAACGAGATAGTATCATTTTGAAATTTTATATTATTAAATATAATATAAGATTATTTGGAAAAAATAATAATTTGTGTAGAGTATTTGGGGAAGAAGTAGAGTGTGGTAGAAATTGTGGGAGGAGTTGAATTTGATAAATGTTCACGTGGGTTAGCCTTAATATACGGTTAAAAAAAATGTGTTACCAGAAACATTATTATTTTTATCGGTTTTGTTATTATTTGACACTTTACCGAATTTGGTAAAACGCTACTGGTTTTATTTTTTTACCAATTTTATTATTATTGGGCACTTTTACCGAAAATCTTGAAAAAATTGATGCTTTAGGTAAAAATAATAAAATTTTAGGTAATTTTTTACCGATTTTGTTATTTAAATAATAACAAAACAGATAACGTCTTATTTTAGTCTTATATTAAGGTGTCGTACTGTAAAACTTCTCGATGAATTTAGGCTCATGAGGTTGGAGAATAGTTACATATGCTACAACCCCACAATCCAAACCAAATTCAAAACAAACTATATGATATGGTATGATATAATATAATATCATTAATAAAAATAAAAAAATTATAAAAAATAAAATTAAATAAAATTGATATAAAATTATTTTTAAAGTAATATTGTGAGTGATTTCAATAGTTTATAAAGAATATTTTTTTTTAAAGATCATGGATTCAAGCATATGTATCTATAGAGTGCATGTGTTATCAATAACAAAGAAATATCTTAAACGCACGAACCAAACGACCTCAGTGATAAAATAATTGTTATTATTCCTTGAGACCAAGGGTGTGAACGTTCGACCTCAAAAATATTAAGAAGTTATCTTTGAACATATATATTACCTTATACTAATCACTTGATTAATAGAAAAAAGAAAAATCTTAAATATATACTACATTGTAATCACTTCAGACTATATTTAATCAAAAAGAAAAATTCTCGATTAATTAGATTCGATCTCGATTAGTTAGTTATGGTATTGATTTTTTTTTGGATAACTAATAATTTTTTAATTTCTAAACTAATTTGACTAGAAAATTAATTTATATATGTTTTATAAACATATTCATAATAAATCAGAAAAGGGTTGTGGTTAGTGACTACAATTACAAAGACTCCATCTTTGTTATGATCTTCTTCGGCTATTAACGAGCGCACCCATCTCACTGGGATTGTAATTATTACCATCACCTCTCTCTCCCTCGTTTTCTCATCTGCCACAGAGCCTGAACTTCTGCAAACACACAAGCACAGGTACTTTCTTTCTTTCATTTCTGGGTTTTATTTTATCTGCTAAATCATAACCTCAATCAGTTTCCCTTCACCTTATTTCTTCTCTCAGCTAACCCTTTTCTTCGTTTAGTAATGCATCAACAAAGCTTCCACCTTTGTTGTAAGCTCCTTTTCCCCCCTCTTCTGCAAGCTTTCAACTTTCAACTCTGCATTATTTATGGGTTTTGTTCCTGCTGCTTATGTTTTACTTTGATCTCTAATGTTCTCACTTTTCCTGTTCTCGATTCTGTCTTTTGACAAAATCGTTCTTTTCCCCCTAAAGTTCCCAACTTTATTTGAAACTTCATTAGGCTCCGTTGTTATTGTTTTGGATCTGATGAGTAATTTTCCCTTGTTTTAATCTCTCTTTTGTGCTTTGTTTTCAATTAATTCTGTGACTGAAAATTTTGCTTGATGTTTTTAAAGTAAGATATTGTTCAAACAACCAGACATTGGCTCTTGTTTTCTGGTTCATCCTTGGGTTTATCTTCTCCTTGTTCTGCTGATTCTGCTGATCTCACCATCTGATTTGTGACAGAGTTTTAAGTATATCTTATTCTGATGTCACATGAAAAGATATTGTTCAATTTTCTACGTTTCCTTACATGAAACCCCAACTTCGAACTATGTAATAAACAAATCAATTAACTAATATACTGTTCTTTTTTTCAGCTGGTTTGTCAGCTTCAATGGATTCCATATGACCAAGTGTTGAAAGATTCCCAGTTTCATTACATTGAGGTGTGGTCTGATGTGTGTGGGAATCTTTGGTGTTTTAGTATTCGGTTTGGCTGACATTTTCCAGCGACTTCATACAGTTTTCACGTGAGATCTGTTCTGGATTTCGAAGTGTCAAGCTCATCGTTTTTAATTTCGTCGATTCATTGTCTCTCGGAGTTGACGAAATGGGGGGTTGTGTCTCCACTAGTAGCCGGAGTAATTGTAGCAACAGGAGCCGCGGGGAAGCGGTTTCTCCGACGTGTTTCGGTTTCGGCTGTTGCAGATCGAAGAGAGCTAAGAGAACATTTTCGGATCATGTTATCGGATTGCAGCATTCACCATCAGCCCCCAACAGGATATTCACTAATGGGAAGAGTAGAAGCTCTTGCATATTCACTCAGCAGGGTCGCAAGGGAATAAACCAGGATGCCATGATTGTATGGGAAGTAAGTTTCCGATGTTGTTGCTTCGGTTCCGATATTCGTTTATGTTCTCGAAGTTTAACTGCTATATAACATTGATGAACTCAAAATTTCCTATAGGATTTCATGCCGGAAGATGTGACCTTTTGTGGTGTATTTGATGGCCACGGTCCACACGGTCATCTCGTTGCTCGCAAAGTGAGAGATGACCTTCCGCTTAAGTTGCTGTCCTCTTTGCATTCTTGTCGGTCGAGGCAAAACGGGTCGGGGCAAACGTGTTTCAAAGGGAGTTTGGAGAAGAAATCGGACGGTGGGGATTCGGAGAAGGAAGTCTCAGCAGAGGAGAGATTAAGTTTGTTATGGAGGGAAGCATTCATGAAGTCATACAAGGCCATGGATAAAGAGCTAAGGTCCCATTCTAATTTGGACTGCTTCTGCAGTGGTAGCACAGCAGTCAGTATAGTTAAACAGGTTAATGAACACAAGCCCTGCCTGCTTCTTTTCATCTTTAGATTGTTTGCTCTCATCTATAACTTGTTCGGGGTCGGTTTTTACTACTTCAGGGGTCCGATCTTTTCATGGGATACATTGGGGATTCTCGAGCTGTCATGGGATCGAAAGACAATAACGATTCTATGGTTGCAATCCAATTGACAGTTGATCTCAAACCTGATTTGCCAAGTATAACATCCCATACCAATTGGTTTTTTTCTCGTCGGAATGCTTAAATGGGACGTAAGTAACATCTAATTTATGCAACAGGGGAAGCCGAAAGGATTAAGAAGTGCAAAGGAAGGGTGTTTGCATTGCAAGATGAACCTGAAGTATGTCGAGTGTGGTTACCATTCGATGATGCACCAGGGCTAGCAATGGCTCGAGCTTTCGGAGATTTTTGTTTGAAGGAATATGGTGTCATCTCCGTGCCCGAATTTTCCCATTGCATACTCACAGAAAGAGATCAATTTATCGTCCTAGCCTCGGATGGGGTAAATATTTTTCACCTTAGCATGTAAATTGACATGCGAGTTTGACATGATATGGGAATAAAAAAAACTTCTATAACAGGAAATTTGTCCTTAGCATGTAAACTGTTATGACAGGTATGGGATGTATTGAGCAATGAAGAGGTAGTCGAGATTGTATCATTGGCTCCGTCCCGATCGTCCGCTGCCAGGATTTTGGTGGACTCGGCTGCACGTGAATGGAAACTCAAGTACCCTACTTCAAAGATGGATGATTGTGCAGTTGTTTGCTTATTTTTAGATGGAAGAATGGACATGGAATCGGATTACGAGGAACAGGGCTTTTCTTCTGCAACCCTTCAGAGTTATCATTCCGGTAATGCAGGTGAGTCCGATGATGGCGGAAACAAATCAGAGCCGTGTTTGGAGAGGAATTTTACGGTTAGATCATCGGAAGAAAGCGGAAGGCTATGTCCCGAGGAGCTCGAAGGGGACGTGGATACAGTTTCCGGTGAAGATCAAAACTGGTCGGGTTTGGAAGGTGTTACTCGAGTGAACTCACTCATACAACTTCCTAGATTTTCCGGGAAAAGGCCAAACCAATAGGTTTTGTAGTGTCTGTAACGAAACTGGACGGGTTTTAGTGTAACATTTTGGCTGCATTAGATCATACAACTTTAGTATATGTCTTGATTTTGTTATTGAATTTTAAAATATTTTATTTTTTTTGGTAATATTAAAACATTTTAATTTTAACACTAAACTTTTGACATTATTTTTCTGTTACTGGAATGTCGAATCATTTTCATTCTTATTTTTCTACAAAAAAAAATTGATAATTCCTCCCCTCGTCCTCATTCAATTATCATCCATCATCAATCACCATTCAAATGTCTAAATTTCAGTCTTCTTTCTCCTTTGATTGATTTTCTAAGATACCTACTCAAAACTGACAAAAAATCTTTTAATTGTTCAATATTCTAGTACTTTGATCTCCTCATATGACTGTCTGATGAGGCTAGATTGAGATATGTTGTTTGTCTTCTCCAAACAATGTTTCTCACCGTTTTATTTTCAAACAAGCATCCTAAACTTTTAGATTCTGGAAAACTCAAATCCCCAAAAATTACAAGATTTTTTGTATTTTTCGTAAGTTATAAAGAGGTTTTGGAAAAACCTAAATAGATAATGGTAGAGGACAGTGAAACAAGCTCATTAGTATCTAGGGTGATCGTAAAAGACATTGAAGAATGATAGTTTTTGATAACGATTGAAAATGTAAGAAAAATCATTAATTTTGATGAAAACTATGATATGGGATAAAACTTATTTTTTTGACTCCCATGTAAGTATCAAACTATTGATTCATTCGGTTGTTACTGATTTAATGGTCCAGTAAAAAAAAACAATGTTAAAAGTTTAGTGACAAAATTGAAGCCTTTTAAAGTTCAATGACAAAATCAATACATAGACTAAGGTTCAATGACTAGGGGGATAATTTACTTTTTTTATATAAATAATGTTCATCATAATTGATAGTCATTAGGTTGTTAATGATTTAATGATCCAATAACAAAAAAAGACAATGTTAAAAGTTTAGTGACAAAATTGAAGTATTTTAAAGTTCAATGACAAAATCAATAAATAGACTAAAGTTCAATGACTAGCGGGATAATTAACTTATTTATATATATATATATATATAACGTCCATCATAATTGATCGCAACACAATTGTGAAGAACTTAATACAAAAATAAGTGTCTAAAGAATGCCTCGAAAAATATTTTAATACCTAAATAATTTTTCGTTAAAAATAAGTGTAAAATTTTTTCCGTTATATTTTTAAGTGTCTATCATTAAAAAACCGTTAAGTGGCATGTGTCACGTATAGATTTATTTAAAAAAAAATAAAATATTATTTTTAAAACATTTAAAAATATTTTTTAAAAATTTGGACGTGACATGTGTCACTTAACAGTTTTTTTAACGGTAGCCATCTAAAAATGTAACAAGAAAAACTTTAGATATTTATTTTTAACAAAAAAATCTTTAGACATCAAAAATTAATTTTGAGTATAATTTAAATATTTATTTTTATATTAACTCATTGTGAAGTATAAAAGTAACGTCATCTCCAGCCCTCATCTCTACTCTACAACATCTCTATCTCTACTCTAAAGATGAAACAATAATTTATCTCCAGCACTATATATACATTACCACCAACTCTATTTTATTCACAATATTTAACTATTAGTATGTTTATTTATCTAATTTCAATGTATTTTTTTATCTTGCAATTTAATCTACTTGAATTTATTATATTATTTTTAATTTTTATTTTATTGTGTAGAAAGTACAATAAAAAAATAAAAGATAGAATAAGAGAAAATAATGTAACCAAGAAAAGAAAAAGAAAAAGAAAATAACAAAAGAAAGTAAAAAAATAATAAAAATAACAAAAAATATATATTATGTAGCGTAGCTATAGTACTGCGTCAAATGTCGAGTATCACTGTAATATCTTCACATTCTAAACTCTACTCTAAAGATGGACTAGAGTTAAAATTTATCTACAAAGTAAAAATTTTCTATACTGATGCACTGGAGTTGATCTAAGGCAATCGAAAATAGGATAACAATGAAGAAAAAGGCTCTAAAATGATTAACTTGCATTTCAAGTTTTCTACAAAAGGCACCCAATTTTCAACCCTCTGCCACTAAATTTATGCCACCCCTTAATTCTTCAGCTCATATTTGTCAACTACAGGAAGTTTAAATATAATTTTTGGCCCCACCATCACTATCATTGGCCACCATTAGTGTACTCCAATGTGTGTGTGAGAGAACTCAACATTTCCCAAAAGTATGCTATGCTACTCATAGTTCATTCTATGAAATAACTAACAGATTCAAAAATATTTTTTAAGAACACATATTTATTAATAATAATTTTTTTTATAGAATAAATATAAATAAAATTTTAGTATGGACATAAAATAAACAACTCACATAAAAGAATTCGGATTTCACCATGAACAATACACATTTTTTTTGGGTGGGGGGACCAATGCTAGCAAGGGAAATGAAACAAAGCCAAATCAAAAGAAACAATCAGGTCCTCTTCATGTCCTTTTAATATGTCTATTTAGCTCAAAAAGAAAAAAAACTTAGAAGGGAACATCTTCGCGAAAAACACAATAATGTACATAATGTGCTCTGCTACTCAGTCCATTAACTACAAATGTACAGTACCAGTGGTTGTATTACACAACATTCATTCATTCCCATGTCAATAATTTGAAGGGGGGGGGGGACCAATGCTAGCAAGGGAAAATGAAACAAAGCCAAATCAAAAGAAACAATCAGGTCCTATTTGCCTCACTATGAACAATAATTAGGACACCATAAGAAAACAAATTGTAATAGTTTCGGATGAGTAAAAGAAATGCCTACAAGACCGAGTGGATCTTAGTTCGATTGACGTTTTTCAGAATTCAAGTGCCTCGATGTAACGGTTTGAGGGATTATGTGTAGTTTATGGCTATTTGATCAGATAATAACATAGATTCAACAACAACATCAATGCAATTCAATTAGCCAGAATTGAATGAACAATTGGATCTAACTTATCCCCAGGATCACTGGTTGTAAAAGTTAAAATTACAATCACCATTTAAACTGGGGTATAATTGTTTAAAGATAAAGAATGTGCAGCTAACAGAAACAATGTTCCAATAAATTCCTTAAATGTGCAGACAAAGATCACAGAAAGAAAACTATAATTCGATTCTTAAATTGAAATGGAGAAGTGGGTATTCAATAAAAGAAAGAAAAGAGTGACCTGATCGGTAGAAAGTGGAAGAAACAATCAGAGGAGATGAAGGATTTTAAGGAGAACGAAAGCGAGGAATCCGAAGAAGATGAAGAGGAAAATGTAGTCCACCATTACGAAAAACTTGGTTGACCCATGATTTCTTTTCTGCAGTTTATTCATCTTCGATTTCGATTCTTCTGAATCTTCCAGTTTCGCCATTGAACTGATGAATTTTCGGATTTCACTGCAACAAAAAATGAATCTGGGGATCTGAACTTCGTTTGTGCGTTTTTTTTAGTATGGTAAACTACACAAATAGTCACTAATATTTGAGTAAATTTTTATTTTTCTTACTGAAGTTTCAAAAATAATAAATAGGTTACTAATATTATCAATTTTTACAAACCAGTCACTAACGTTATCGATTTATAACAAATCGATTACTCGACGTTAAGTTCCGTTAACATGGGTGATGAAAAACTTACCTGGCCCATTAGTTGTTTACTTGGCAACTCCAATAGCCACATAAAGACCCTATCTGTATTGATCTGTCAACTCTTCAACTTTAGAAATCCACTCCTAAAGGGACAGTGAAAGTAGTCGTGTCTTGCACTTATCTCACTTTTCTTCTTTGTGTGCTCGGTAGTTGCAGTCGGAAGCCATGGTTATCCTCGATGCCTTGTTGGTTTTTCTCCTTGCTTTTATGTCCATTGTTCATCATTGATTCTGTTAAAGACGTACGTAGAGTTTTATGTTAGGGGTAAACTTGAATTTAAGGAGGACAAAAAAGAATTTATAAAATTTCAAGGGAGCGAAAATATAATTTCAATAAAAAATATAAAAAAATCTAAAATTTAAAATAATTTAAAATTTTTAAGAAACGAGCGCCTCCACCTGCTTCTTCTATGATGCTTAAGATTGACAAACAACAGCCAGGAAAGGAAGAAAAGCCTTACTATAGCACTCAAAGTAATACATGTCAAACAATCATTGTGCGATATATTCTTTAATAAAAGTATATGATTTAATCTTAAAATAATACTAAAATAAAATATTAGATAATTATTTTGACAAAAATCGTCAAATACTTAAAAAAATAATATAATTCATGTACTTATATTTGGTTGAATCCAAAATTTAAATATTTAAAATTGTTGTCAAAATACAATTTAAAATAAATAAATATTATTTTAAACATGTATATTATGTTATTTGAAATTTTTAATATTATAATATAAGAAAAATATGAACTTAAATTATAATATAAATATAAAAATATTAAATATATATATATATATATATATATATATATATATATATATATATATATAATAATTGTAAGTATTCTATAAAAAGCATAAAATTCAAAATATATTTTATTTAATACGAATTTGTAATTACAAAATAACCACGTCATAAAATAAAAAATAAAAATTGTAATTGCAATTTTAAATTTCAAAATACTTTAAAAATGTAATGTTACAAAAGACTTTAATCAAAAATTTAAATAGCGTGGTTTTTAAAATTGAGAATTTATATTTTTTTTTTCAGGCGAAGCCCGCGAAACTCTTTCGCTCTGGTATTTGCCTCTCATCTCCATTTTCTCGGCAACCAAACAAACAAGCACCGTTCGTACCAGAAATTAACTGCATCCACCCGTTGCTGTGATCGTTCGCTTCCTTTTTCTTCTCTCTGTATTTTCTTCAATTTCCATCTTTCCTTTCCTCTTTTTGTTAAGACTGTTTTGTTTTTCTCAACTTCATAATCCTTTTCGCATCCTTTTAGTGTTTGGAGGATCCGTTTCCGTGGTTCAATGAGTCACTACGAGACCAACCCTTTCGCCGATGAAGAGGTCAATCCTTTCGCGGTAAAGTTCCTTCCGTCCTCCTATTAGAATCAGTTTCCTTTTTCTCGCGTGATCTGATCGTCAGGTTTTGTTGATTTAGATGACTCATTGACTAAATTGCTTGAGATATTTCGTTTATGTTAGAGTTAATCAATTTCGAGATCGGATTCCTTGTTTTTACTGAGCAAAAAAGGAACGATTTGGACGCAACTAATAATGTCATTTTGAAGGATTTGCTTTTCAAACGTAGACAAATTGATATGGTGTGGCATGGTTATTTTCTCTTAGAAGTAGTATATAAGTTAATTTTGTTTCTGTTACATAAAGATGATATTCATGGTATATGACATTTATTTGGCGAGTATTGTTTTGCTTGTTTAACGTGAAGTCAAACCAGATGGAATTTTGTCACTACATAAAATTACTAGTGATTTATTAAATACAAGATGATGATTTCTGCTCTTTATTATCAACTTTGCTTATAAACGACATGTATGTTTCCATTTTATTTATTGCAGGATCCATCGGTTAAGAAAGGATCAGGCGCCCGTGGAGGTGGAGGTGGAGGTGGAGGTTCACTTTTTTCTACAGTGAGTTATTTTGCTTGCGTATCCATGCTTATTCATCCTCTGTAAGGGCTTATGATATTGCTTGTGTTCCTTAAATTGTAAATATACAAATATTAGTCAGGGATTTCACCCCTTCCTCCCGAACCGTATGAGAGTGGTGCAACAATAGATATTCCTCTTGATACTCATTCTACCGAGGTATCCTAAAACTTTCCAGATATTTAATGGGAAACTATCATGTTTCTAAAGCCTTCTTTTGATATTTTCTGTCTTATCAATTGTAGGATGTCACATCAAAGGAGAAAGAACTTAGAGCAAAAGAGGCTGAACTGAAAAGGCGAGAGGAGGTAATTTCTGATGTCTGCTTGAAATCGAGCTAGGCTAGCTGATGAAGTACAAATCTGGTGCTTCCGGATAATTATTTGTGGCATTTGGTTTCAACATTAATATGTTATTCCTTTCATAATGCAGCTGTGGTTATACGCATTTGTTCTTGACTTTTCAATTGCTGCTTTTTTCATTGTGAAAACACTAAATTATGCAAAGATTTGATCCTAAATGTAAACTTGGATTTCATATGTAGGTAGCGCTGTCTGCAGGTTGATTTTGCAGTTCTCGTTGTTTCCAGAATAAATTGTTCTCATACTAAATGACTGTTATCTTTGTGTAATGCAGGAATTAATGACGAAGGAGGAAGCAATAAAAAGAGGCAAGATCTTTTTATTTTTGTTTTTGATGCTTGATTATTTTGTGCATTATCAGTTTTATTCACATATATGCTTTACCTTTGTCTTGGCAGCTCGAATAGTGATAGAGGTGAAAAATTGGCCAGCATTTTTTCCGATTATCCATAACGACATCGCAAATGAAATACCAGTCCACCTACAAACAATCATGTATGTTGCTTTCGCAACATTGATAGGTGAGTTAAAATTCAGGATTTTTTTTTAAAAAAAAATTAGGCTTCAATATTTTAAGCATGACAGTGCTTCGGTTTTGGTTTTCGATTTTCCATTCATAGGTTTGACATCCAAATAATGAGTAGCTTTGCAGTTAGTTGTTAGAATCTGTAGATTAATTTGTTTATTTGAAAAACTGGAGCTTTACTTATTGGAAGTTCATAATACTTTCCAAGAAGAAAAAAATCTTTATCAACAATATTACCATTTTTGTTTAATAAGATGCTAAAGTGGGAGATTGACTCATTCTATATTAGAATTAATCACTGAAATATTTTAATATTAATGGGTTCTTATTTATCGATGATGTCCTATAATCAAGACAATTAACTGAATCTTATGAAGTCATTCATAGAAGTTCCTGTTTCTTTATATCAAAATGGTCTGTATTAACGATTTTATGAAGGGCATTTACTAAAAAGGAGAATTCTTCAGTATTCCTCAAAATTTTATGTGGATCGAATTGGTTGAAATGTTCATTTCTTGTTCCAATTTGTTATAATGGTCTATGCTGATTTTTGTCTATAAATTTATACGGACATGGCAGGTTTGGTTATCTGTCTTCTCTACAATATGGTGGCTGTTACTACAGCATGGACCAGGGATACAGTGGGTTTTGAAAATTACTAAGCTTAGCCCCTGATCATTAGTGCTTAATTGCTATTTTTGGCATTTTTTATCATTGTATAAATTTACTATAATTTGTTCCAGGCCCAATAATTTGGCTTCTTGCTGTTATATATACCTTAACTGGCATCCCTGGAGGCTTTTACTTCTGGTATCGCCCTCTTTATCAGGCTGCGAGGTACTACTTTTTGATTGTTCCTCGTTTGGATTTTTTTTATTGCTTCCTACAGTTGTATGTTTACAATTATCACTACATTTTAGAATTATTTCGACTCCTAAAATATGTTTGAAGCTTTCGTGAACTGGGTTTTAAAAGGCGCGCATTAGGTGCGAGGCGCAGTCAGGCGATGAAGGTAGCGCCCGCCTGGGTTGGGACGAGGCGATCTACGGGGGCGGCCGGAGGCACACGCCTAGGGGATTTAGACGCCAGGCGTAGCGCCTTTGGCTATTTAGATTTTTGTTAAGAAAATAGGAAAATCCAAACTAAGTAGGAAGAAGAAGAAAATAAACACTGCTACAGGAAAAGTAGAAGAAGGAGAGGCAGAAAGTCACAGTAGAGAACTAATACAACAACAAAACTCTATTTTCATATGCAATAGAATAAGTGAAGGTAGGGCAGTAGGTTGCCTCCAACGTCAGGATTGAGAGCAGTTTTCGTGGAAGATCTCCGACAGTCAGAAAATTAAAAATAAAGAGAAAATGCAATGCATATATAAATACATAAATAAATACATAGTTGAACAGTTTTCATATGCAATATTCACATGCGCGTCTTTAATGAAAAGTAATCCCTGAGTAAAAATCTCTGCATATAGAAAGAAACGTAAGACGCGACTAAATTTAAAAAGAGGAAACCTGAAGAGAATGATACACAGAAGTTAATGATAACAAGCTAGGAGAAAGAATACAGTCAAATGAGTTAAAACCTAAACTAAGGCAACAATACTCCGATATCTTAGTTCTAATCCTACATAAATTCTAATGACAAAAATAAATATAAAGTAGAAGTCATGGAAATTATTACAAAAGAATTAAAAGGAAGACAAAGATATTACACCCTATGTCTGTGACCCGCACTACTCGACTACCCTGGTCTTAAGTCTCCATACTTTCCTATCAGAGGTCATGTTCTTGGTAAGGGTTAAATTCTTCAAATCAGATCTCAAGCAGTCTTCCCACTTCCGCCTTGGTCATCATCTCCTTCTGGCACCGTCGACTGTAATCGACTCTACCCTCCTGACAGCATCCGACGGTTGTCGCCTAAGGACATGTCCAAACCACCGTAGTCTTCTCTCCTTCAATTTTTCGGATACAGACACCACCCCAAGGACATCATAATAGTTAAGTTTGGTGTCATGTCCCACAGAGTCCTACCACATGCCCATCGAAGTATTCTCATTTCTGCGGCCTCCATCCTCCTTACGTGATTCTTCTTGATTGCCCAACATTCTGATCCATACAGCAGCGTTGGTCTTATTTTCATTCTATAAAATTTTCCCTTAAGTTTTAGAGGTACCTTCTTGTCACACAAAACTCCAGTAGAAGTTATCTACTTTTGTCATCATGCCTTTATACGGTGTTCCATGGTGTATACTTTTCACTGACGACATTGTCTAATTGCTGAAACAAAAACTGAGCTAAATAATAGACTGTCTGCCTGAAAGATTGCTTTGAAAGGAAAAGGTCTAAGTATTAATATTGAAAAGACAGAATATTCATGTTCAACCCCAACCCTAACACATAAAATTACTTATAAATAGGCCCAAATCTATAACCCATTATAATATTTATTTATTATAACAAGCTCATAACTTCTTTTACTATTTATATGCTTTTATTGAAAAGTTTATTATTTCTATATAATATTTTTATGTTATGTTATTTTAATTAATTAATTTAATAATAATAATATATATAATTAATTATAAAATAGTAAAATATCAAATTTAATAATATTTATTTAATCATTCTTATTAAATATAAAAGTTATTTTTTATAATAATTTAGAGTTAAATGATGATTTTAAATTGATAATAAAATTAATTTGTATCATTTAAAATAAATAAAATAATGATTTTAAATATTAAAATAATTGTTATTGCCTTTAAGAAATTCAAGTTTGTGTAGTTATGTTTGTCCTACAAAGTATTAGTTTGATTTATATCATATAGTATAAAGGGTGCGCCTCGCATACGAAAGGCGCGTTTGCGCCTTGCGTCAGGCTCCAGGGACTTTTGCGCCACAGTGCGCCTTGAGCCCTTAAAAACCAAGTTCGTGACATAAGATAAGATACCCCATGAGAAATATTTAGGTATAATGCCAAAAAAATTCAAAAAAATATTATTATCATTCGATTAAATAATCACTTTAGCTTGTATTCTTTTTCGGAACATTTTATTCTCAACGTTTTGTTCGGGGGGAGTGAAATGACACCCAGTTAGATAAAAACCGTTAATTGACTAACGATCAATATTTATACTTATTGCTGACGTGCCAAATACTATATATACAAAGTGCTTACATGACACATGCTACGTGTTTAAAGTGGTAAATTGCACTTTGGATACATAGGATTTACCTTGTCAACGATAAGCGATGTCCATTAATTAACTAACATTTCCCATCCAATCAGAGAAGATTTTAAATACTTAAAAAAGAAAGAAAGTTAAAGTAACTATTTATCAAGAATGGTTTTTGACATTATACAAACTATTTGTAAATGCCACTTGTGATCATGCACTCGGACGTAATGTCCGCATTCCTTTTACAGGTCTGACAGTGCGCTGTGGTTTGGATCGTTTCTCTTAGTTTTCTCGGTAAGCTCATTGCTTTCTCAGTTTACTTATTGAATATCCAACCAATATATGTTGGAAAACTCCTCATTACAAACTCTCTTCCTCCTCCTCCTTGCAGGTCCATATAGCGTTTTGCATCCTTGCTGCAATTGCTCCTGAATTGTTTTTCAAGGGCGGGTCCATAACGTAAGTTTTGCTTCTTCTTTTCTTCCAAGGGTGCTTATCAATCATGTTAAGATACTCTACAGCTTAGGTCTTAATGGGGTAATTCTTTGTGCAGAGGTATTTTGGCTGCATTGTCTATATTCCCCCAAGATCGTACGTTGGGGGTAAGTTCGTTCCATTTGAATGCAATATTCCATTATGGTTACTTAGGAATCACGATTTTTTACTTTTTATGATATATATATATATAAAGGTAAAGTACACAAATGGTCATCTGATTATAGGATACTGCTTTATTGAATCATTTGATTATTAAAAGTTACAAAATGATCCCTTGACAATAGAGGTTGCTTTATTGAGTCTATTGACTATTAAAAGTTACAAAATGGTCACTTGGCTATTCATTATGTTCTAAACTCGTCATTTTATGTTAAAAATTAACAATAAATTGAGTTGGACATTAACATGCTAACTAAAATATGATAGTCGTTTGAGATTATGAGATAAGATTTTTATCATATCTTAGCCAACATTTTAACACACAGCTCAGAATGCAACCAATTTTTTAACTGAAAAGGATGAGTTTGAAACATAATGAATAGTCAAGTGACCATTTGAGATTTTTAATAGTGAAGAGACTCAACAAAACAACTCTCTATAGTTAGAGAACTATTTTGTAACTTTTAATAGTTGGAAACTTAATAAAGCAATATCCTATAGACAATTGATCATTTATGTACTTTACCCTATATATAATTCGTGTAAAACCAATGAATTTTACATTGATTTACAATCATTAGATGAACGTAAATGAATGAGACGATGAACGTATATAAATGAATGAATGAGATTTAAATAGTGTGCATTCACATTATTAACTTTTTTTTTACAGATAATCATCTTCTCATTTTCAATCAAGTTATTTATTACACGCATCTAATAGCTTAAATTAGTGTAAAATTCATTAATTTTACTTCCTCTCTATCTAGGGATGGGCATGGGACCCGACCCCGACCCGATCGAGTCGGGTTTTTAAAAAAAATTCTGGGTCGGGTCGGGTTTTTTTAATGTGGTGATCGGGTCACGTTCGAGTTTAGGGTGAAAAATACCCGACTTGAAAAAAATATAATTTTACCTTATATATTTTGGAATAATTACAATAATACTCCTCTATATATTTTTTTTTCAATTAAGTCACTGATTTTATTGAATAAAAATAATATTTTTTATTGTTTCGGGTTGGGTCGGGTGAAATCTTATTTTGGTCGGGTCGGGTCGAGTCGGGTGGAGGATCCCTTGTTCTCGGGTGAACTAAAACCCGACCCATGCCTATCCCTATCTCTATATATCTTTTGAGTCTTTGAGAATACTGACATTATCCAGGCTTGATTTCAACTTGCAGATGATGTACTTCGTCGGTTCTGCATTATTTTGCTGTGAATCACTTGTGAGCATCTGGGTTATTCAGGTCCACTGATCCCTCTTTCCCTAGTGCCTTTCCGTTATTTTCATTAGAATTTTACAATTTTTAATAATTATATATGACATATAGATACGAAGATATCATTATTAACTGTTTTTTTCTTCTTCATAAATTCATACTTGAGTCCATGTTACAAAATCAAGATAATAATAAACAAATGGATGTAAATTAGAAGACAAAAGCAAACAAACACATATTTTACACAGGAAATTCTCTAAACAAGAAAAATAAAGACGAAAATAACCCATAAAATTCACTATATATTTATATATACGGTCTCGAAACGAGTCGCTATAAATTCTTAATTATTTTCCGGAAAAGATCATCACCAAACAATTGTATAATGTACTTTTTCGAAAATGCAGGTCATAATCTCTAACGATTCAATTAACACAATATTGTCGATAACTTTGCTCGAATTCGGTTTCATCTAAGCCCCCATTGATCTCTGATTTGAATTTGCAGCAAGTATTCATGTACTTCCGAGGCAGTGGTAAAGCTGCAGAGATGAAGCGTGAGGTTGCAAGACAAACCATTATGTCTGCACTATGAGAGGAAAAGAGGTGTACTGAAAGATGGTAATTTCTAATTCTCATTTTGTGTTTGCTTTATTTGCCAACAAGTTTTTGTTCTACTCTTACCCCATAGGTGGCTTAGCTAACCATAGTGTCATTTTGCACGCATTTAAAATGATTTTTCCTAACGGCGTCCAAATAATTTTGATTTGAGACATAAATCTTTTGTAATTTGTACATCACTGTATAAAATGTATTTATACATCAATGTATGAACTTAGGGCAAAATATTATATTATACCAATTGTCATAACCATTTTTTTGTAAAACAATTAAATATTATTTTAAAAAAACAATTATGACTTTAAATTGAAAAAAATGAGTGATTTTGAATTGATTTGAATTAAATTAAAAATGGAGTCGCCATCGACCTTTGGGTTAGGTAGGCCGAATACCTAAAAACGTCTTTTAAAACAATTTTAAGAAAAAATCATTTTTTAGACAAAATTCGGTATGCGTTACCAAAGATTCATTTAAATGGATTCGGAAGTCGGTTACGCGTGGGGAAGGATTAGCACCCCACAGCGCCCAAAATTGGTACTGTGTCGCTTACACATTGTCATAATGGTGGAAATTACAAATTGAATATAAAGTTAATTTATGATCCATTTATCGAACATTAATTAATTTGCTTCGAATTATTTAATTAGAGAAAATTCTTTAACTCGAAAGGAAATCTTGAAATTAGCAATCCTCCATCGGGACAACTAACTCGAACTATTTCTCATTCGTAAAAGAATATTCTACCATTGATTATGTTAAAAATACAAAACGAATATAATTAAAAACAATGTTTACATACGAATAAATTGATTAACTGAAAACGTGAATTGAATACAAATTAAAAATTTTGAAATTTACATTCACATAAAATAAAGTAAATTGTCATTTAAAATAACACACATTGCATCGTTTGAATAAATTAATTAGTAAAATATACTCGACTTGTTGCAAGTTCCTATGTCGTTAAAATGCCGTATCGGATCGTACCACTTCGACCAAGTGGTACTTTCCACGCCCATTCTACGCATACGTGTTCTTGAAAATATAATCGAACATTTCTTACATAGATAAAGATATAATGAAAATAAATGTAATTGGAAATACAAAAATAAAATATTTACATTAAATGAAATTGAAAACATTATTTACATAATCCAAATAATTAACTAATGAGTAAAATACACATCCATACATAAATGTCTAAAAATAAATTAGTAAATATTACAAACCAAAATAAATATAAAACATTTAAGGGGCTAAAATAATAGAAACAGAAACTTAGGGGGCTAAACAGCAAAAAACAGAAAGTTAATGGACCAAAATAGCACTAACCGAAATTTAAAGGACTAAATATAAAATAAAAATAATTTAGAGCCCATATCTCAAACATTAAACAGTCAAATACTAGAAGTGAAAATAACCCAAAAGTAAAGCTTATGACTAAATTGAAATTTCACAGAAACATGGAGGATCAAAAAGTAATTAAATAAAATGTCAGACAGTGACCAAATAGAACATTTGCAAATATGATGGCTGAATTCAAACATCCACAAAATATCACAACACAAGAACTTAGGACTAGAATGAAACTATTACAAACATAATGTCCAAAAGTCAAATATTCACAAAAATGACATAACATACATTAATAGGACTAAAATAAAGTATTTTAAAAAATGGGATGGCCAGATTCGAATATCAAAGAAACATACATGAAATATTAAATCAGTGGCTAAGATGTAACATTTATAAATATTGAAACCAGAACCAAATATAAACCAAAAAATGTTATAATACCTAGGATAGTGACTAAAATGAACCTAAAAGAAAATTTAAGCCTAAATCAAATATTAATCCCAATCGAACCCACAAGCCAACATAAAGGACCGAAATGAAAAGGATGCAAAACAGATGACCAAAATCATAAACCTCATCGAAAATAAAAACTAAGAACAAAGATGGACTAAAATAGAAGGCAACCCAGTTTAAAGACTAAAACATAAATGTTAATAAATTCCATTAATATACATACAATGATCAAAATAAAATTAATCACAAATCAATAAACCTGAATAGGCATAAAACCAAACTAACATTACAGAAAATTTAAGGACTGAAATAAACATTTCACAAATTCCAGGATTGATATATAAAAATTGTCATAAACATCAACACATATGTTAGGACGAAAATATAACAAGAAATAAAAAGGAGACTCAAATAGAAAAAACTGAAACCTAAAAGACTAAATAGGAATTAAACCATACACAAGCCAATGGCTAAAATAATATATTCACAAATATAGTGACCAATGTCAAATATTAACAAAAATAACTTAACAAATAATAAAAGGACTAAAATATAAATAAGGAAACATCAGAATCTGAAATCAAATAAATGAAACTTCATTTAATGGCTAAATAATACGGTTACAAAGCATCAGGGACCAAAAGAGTAGTTACCCCATAAATCGAAAACACGGATGGGGATGGGGTTCAAAACGGCAGCATTTCAGCTGGGAAATAAAAGCCCCATACACGGGCTAAACCTCTCATCTCCCTCATTTTCCCTCTTTCAGAAACAAAAAAAAAAAGATATAGTTGAGAACTCTCTCAACTTCTCTCGCCGGAGACGAGGGCGTTGGCCGCCACCGACGGAGTCCACGGCGGAACTCACGGCGGCCGGAGAGAGAGAAGCCTCCAAAAGACTCCTCTCTTAGCTCTCAACCCAAATCTAAAGTCCCCTACCCCAAAATCCAAACAGAAAACCCTAGATTTAGGATTTACCTCACGGAAAACCGAGACTCCAACGACCCTTTGGACTTCCGATGGTTCCTCCGATCAAGGTATGGGTTCCCCTCTCTCTGTTTTTTTTCTTTCGTATTTTTGTTTGAATGGGATGTATGGTTTTTCTCTTGGTTTCTTTCTTTTCTTTCCTCTGTGTATTTTTCTCTTTTTTTTTTTTTGACCCCGAATCCCTCTCCTTTTTGACTCTGATATCTTGCTTGATTTATGGTTGATTTTTGCTTCGTTTGGTGAGATGATGATGTCTAGGAATAGGGGAAATTATGGGTTGTTGATTTAGGGTGACCAATTTCCCGATTTACCGGGATTTAGGTATTTTATATTTTAGGGTTTTGATTTGTTTACTATTTCCTTTGATTGGTTTGATTTGGAACTGATGGGGTTACTGTTGGTGCAGGTGGGAGCAGTCGGAGTGGAGCGAGACGGGCCGGAACAGTGACGGCGGCGCGGCTGTTCCTTTGCTGCTGGCGGCGGCGGCTAGCCACTGGCTTCGGTTTAGGGTTTAAAACCCTAATTACTTGGGCCAGATCCAGGCCTGGTTCGGGTATTGGGCCTGAACCGGGTCTGGGCTCCAAGTCTTGTAATTCTGGGTCGGGTTTGGTATCTGATGGGCTTCGGGTTTGAGCCTGCAAAAATTGTAATATTTGTAAATTAATAATAATAATAGTAATAATAATAATATAACGATAATAATAATAATAATAATAATAATAACGATAAAAAACCTGGACAAAAACGGGTGTCTACACCAATTATATCCATGTTGAGTACTTTCTAACATGTTGTTTTTAGGATAGATTATGTATTTAGTAACTAATCTATCAATTTTGGTCTGTTTTAACACTTTAGCTTTCAATTTTTTAAAATCATATTTAATGTTTAGTTTTCATTTCATTTTAGTACCCCCGTTGTTAAACTTAACGCATTTACTATCTAAACTATTAGTTTTGGTCCGTTTTAGAACCTAAACTTTCATTCCCCCCAATAGTTAACGTTAAATTTTGAACGGTTACTAAAATGAAATAAAAACTGAAGTTTTTAACAATGGGTACTAAAATGAAACAAAAACTAAACTTTAGATATGATTTGAAAAAATTGAAATTTAGGTACTAAAATAGATCAAAACTGATATTTTGGGTACTAAACACGTAATTTACCTTAGTTTTTAATGTGATTTTGTGTATTTAATCTTTAATTCAATTGAAATAGATTAATTATTATTTAAACTTATTAAAAATAATTAAAATATTTCAAACTATTTTAAATATTCAAATATTGTTATAATAATATAAATATAATATTATAATCTCGAGTGCTCAAAGTGTAATAGGTCAAAACTCTCGTGTGCTCGTAAGTTAAACTGCATAAACATATACGTATAAGAAATTTTTATATTTTAAGATATGTTAACTATAGTATAGGGATGGGTATTGGACCTGAATCTGACGGGTTCTGATCCGACCCTATTCAATCGGGTCGGGTTTTTTTTTAAAAAAAAATTGGGTTCGGGTTTAAGGTAAAAAATACCCGACCCGACCTCAAAAAAATATATAATTTTATCTTATATATTTAAAAATAATTACAATAATACCCCTCCATATATATATTTTTTCAATTAAGTTAATGTTTTATTGAATAAAAATAATATTTTTTATTATTTCGGGTCGGGTTTCTAAGTTATATGTCGGGTCGGGTTCGGGTCGGGTGGACAAAAAACCTGACCCGACCCATGCCCATCCCTACTATAGTATACCATTACTCCACAACATTAACTAAGCCCTAATCCTTATCATTAGTCTTTTTAATCACTCAAAACAATATTTGCTAGCATTGACTTATTAAATTAACTCATAGCAGAAACTAACAAATGACCTCAATAATTAAATGTGATATTATTCTTTTTCGGGATCCTGTGTTCAAGCAGTTTTGTCTGTAAGTGTGTGCGTTGTTAATGGCTAAGAAAGTTTCTAATCAAATACTATCTTATAATCATCTTAGACTATTAAAAAAGGGTAAACTACATCAAATACCACTGAACTTTAAAAGTTGTATTGTTTATACCATCGAACTTTCAATTTTGCCAATTGTAGCACTAAACTTTGATATTTGTTTCAATTATACAACTAAACCATTAAATCGTTAACGATCGATGACGTGACTGACGGATGTCAATATAGACATCTCACCAAAATGACGTCATTTTGATCCGTCCGTTAACGATTTAATGGCCTAGTGGTATAATCAAAACAAAAATAAAATTCAATGCTATAATTTACAAAAATTAAAAGCTTAGTTGTATAAATGATATAGCGCCTAAAGTTTAATAATATCTGGTATAGTTTACCCTTAGAAAAATAACTCATAGCATTATTAGACAATTTGTTATAACCACATAAAAAATCATTTATAGATACAAATAGACTTCTACAAAATTTTAAGAATTATATTCTCGAACAAATTGAATTTGTATGGGGGTGAGTATTCAAGAGTTGTGTAAAAAAGAATTATGGACACCAATTTATCATTTAAACCTTATTTAAAAACAGTTTCAAGATAAATTTATAAATTTCGAGTCAAATCAAATATATTTATTTGAATTTATGTTTAAATTTATAGCATTTTTATTCAAGACTTTTTCCATTTAAGCAATGGAAAGTTCATGCATCGATTGTTAGAAGTAAGAGAAAAACAAATAAGATAAAACGACGTTACTTGCAAGCCAAGCCAATATATGCAGCATAGGACTACTAAAATGGGAACAAAGGTAAAAGTTTACAGCTTGACCTAATGGTGAAGATCAAAATTGTTTTCTCTGTGATCTTTTAAATAGTTTTATATGAAAGGAACAGACTAAGTCGGAATGGACTACAGACCATGTTACAACCGGCAGCCATGCTTGACCTCTTTAAAATTATACAAGCATACCCGACCTCGAAGCTTCTAAGATGGTGTGTGGAAGAACTCAGATTTCTATGGCGACGGATCAGTGAAAATTGCACTGTTGCAAGAGAGGATAGGAATAATTGACGTACTTCTCCCACAGCGGCTTGTATTTCTCTATCCCGATTTTCAACCATGGCTTCGAGTTCCCTTTGAAGTGTAGAACAGCCCCTTTCTCTATCAACTGGGGATCAACGTTTGTGTAGCCTAGCCCTAGTACATGCCATGAGGGATCCAATGCCTCTGTCAATCCATAGAACGTCAGCAGTCCGGGCGGAAGTGTCCCGAGTTTCCACAACGTCCTGTCCACGTTCCGTTCTTGCCAATAGTGATAGATGCCGGTCACATTCCTCTTCCTCCACTCGACCAAATCGAAAACAGTCATCCCAAATGCCCAACCACAAGCGTCAGGGTCAAAGTGTGCCCTTATCAGAGGGTGAGAGTAGTTCAGGTACTTGTGATACCTGTGAAATGTCTCCATGCACGTCTCCACTGCTCCGTTAACGTTGCCCTTCAAATCAATGGAAAATAGACCAGAAAGATCTTTCTGAACCACAATGTCATCGTCGACAAATACCACCTTCTTTAGTGCTGGATAAACTTCAGGGATATAAAACCTCAAATGAATAAGCATTGACAGGTATTTGGGATTTCTGAACTTTATTGGAGTCCGACCATCATCGTTATGGCCAGAAAAATAATAACTCTGAGTCTCAGAATCTTGCAGTTGCTTAAGAACCGGAACATAAGAAGCATTCAACCACTTGAAGTCCTCAAACTTCTGAATTGGGGATAGGGGTGAACATTCGATCGAGTTGAGTCAAAAAATTTTGAGTTATTCAAGTTGACGAATCGTATTTACAACTCAAACTTAACTTGAAATTTTTTCGAGTCGAGTTATTCTAGTCTCTATACCAATTTTATTAGAATTTTTATAGTTTTATGACAATCATTTGTTACATTTTTTTCTTTCTCTAATCATATATATATATATATATATATATATTCTTTTAACATTATAATGTTATTTAATATATTAAATACAATCTAAAAATATGAATTATATTCATAATATTATATTTTAAAGAAATTATTTTGAGGGTAAAATATTGATGAGAGTATAAAGAAGTTAAGGAATTGATGGTAAGAAAGAATTTGTAAACATTTGTAGTCAAAAGACCAAATTGAGTAAAATGCAAAGTTAAGGGACTAAATAAAAAAGAAAATACAATTTTAGTAAAAAATTAAGAATTGAAGTTACATAGGTATTCTATTGTGGTATATGAGTATGTGATTCAAATTTGGTAAAAGATGGACTTAAAATAAATAATGAATTGAAGAAATAAGAAAAATATGAAATATTAAGGGACTAAATTGAAAAATAAAAAAATTATTATCGAAAAGAGGAATTGAAAGTACATATGTATTCTACAATGGTTTATGAGCATGTGGTTTAAATTTGGTAAAAGATGGACTTAAAATAAAGGATGAATTGAAGAAATAAAAAAATATGAAAAATTAAGGACTAAATTGAAAAATAAAAAATTTGTTAACAAAATGAGGAGTTGAAAATACATATGTATTTTACGATGATTTATGAGCACGTGGTTCAAATTTGGTAAAATACGAACTTAAAATAAAGGAGAAATTGAAAGAATGTTGAAATCAGAGACTAAATCATAAAACTATCAAAATATTTATTCAAATTATTGGTTTTTCAAGTAACTCGACAATTCAAAATTTCATCTCTTTTATATATATTTTTTATATTATTTCACACATACACATATATATTAAATTATTAAAACAAATCTAATAATTAAATTATATTTTTCGCACACATATATATTTAATTATAGGTAATACAAGATTTATAAATAAAAATGAGTTTCATATTTTTTATATTTTAAATTAATTTAATTTATCTTTTTTTTTTACAATTTTAAATGATTATAAATATAAAGCAAATGAGAAATATTTTTTTAAGAATTTGAAAATAAATAGTTAAGATTCTTATTATAAATTTATTTTATGATTTAAATTGCTTTTGTGACTTTGAATTCTAATATGAATTTTTAATATTTTTAGTTTTTAATATAATTCATATATAATTATTTAAAAATAATTATGAAGAAATTAATTTAATTTGAAAATATAACAATGTTAAACTTGTTTTTATTTATAAATCTTGTATTACCTATAATTATATATATGTGTGAAAAATATAATTTATTTATTAGATTTATTTCAACAATTTAGTATATTTGTGTATGTGTGAAATAATATAAAATAAAATATATAAAAGAGTTTGCAATATAATAATGTATGGACTAGTTAGCTCAGTGGTTAAGGCTTGCTCAATGACACCAATGGTTCCTGGTTCATAACATTTTGGTAGCAGCATTTTCATAATTTGTTTTCCTTTACATATGTTTGACACGTGTCATAACTTGGTTGGTGGATAAAATTATCAAATTAAATATTAAAAATAATTCTCCAATCATGTGATGACATGTTTTACTTAGAAATATGTCACAATAATATGTTAACACGTGAGACCTTCAGATTGGAGGATTAATTATTTTAAATTAAATTAAAATTAGGACAATATTTATAGAATTCATAAGTATTGAGGACTAAATGTATAATTATTCTATTTTTATTAACGGGCATGTCACAATTTCTTTTAAAAATTAACGGAAAGTGGCTTGATTGAAACATTTAAAAAGTTGAGTGGTCTCTTTTACCAAATTAAAACATCGGTAGTCAAAATTATTTTTAACCATAATTTAATGGTCACCAGTGTAGTTTACCCTAAATAAAATTAATATTTGCCAGGTGTAGCTTTTACCATCCGTGAAGTCAACTGTATGTTGGTGGAACAGGTTATGTAAATCTGAAAGCTTTAGGAAACTCATCACCCCTAACTTGTCGTTGTTAATCAAGGAAAACAATAATGATTTTTGAAGTTCCTCTTCTGATTCTTTGAAGAAAAACCACTCAGATTTCGCCATCTTTTACTTTCAAAATGGCAATTCTCTCTTTCTTCACCAGAGCTTCAAGGGCTTTCAATGGCTACCCTGCTTCCTCTAAGCTTTTGCTTCTCTGTACTCTCAGTCTCAGGTTCCTTCTTTTTTTTTTCTTTTTCATTCTTCCATGAAAAACCCCACTTTTTAAAACCTTTTTGCCTTGTTCCCCACCTCCTTTTTGTGTGGTTCTTTTGGCTTCTGTTTGATTTATGTGTACTGTAATGGATATAGTGAAAAGTGAAATTATTCGCACATACATATACATGTTTGTATATTGTAGACATTAAAATAAAAAATTGAAGTTTGATTTTTCCAGCTGCTCAGTGTTTAGATAAGTAGATAGTCTGGTGGATCAAAATAGGGTAAATCTAATAGTACTATAAAGCTTAGGTTTTAAATTTACTTAAATTTCAGCTTCTTAAGCTTTGTTTAGCTCGTCAGCTAAGTCCATGAGTATAATGTCGAAGAATTTTGGAGGAAATGAACTTCTGGTTGATATTAAATCTGGGATTGTAATCATTATGGCCTCAAGAACAGTAGGAAAAAAGTGAAATCTTTAGACATGTTGAAGTTTAATGTAGATTTTAGAGAATGCACATTGTTTTACCAGGTAGCCTATTTACCTGTTGTTGTTGAATTGGTGCAGTGGTGGAGGTGTTGTAGCTTACTCGGAATCGCAAGCAGATGTTATCAAAACGAGTGTTCAAGTGAATGAAAAAGACAGCAAGAAAAAGAGAGTGGTGGTTCTCGGGACCGGATGGGCCGGCATTAGTTTCCTTAAGGATCTTGATGTTTCGGCTTACGATGTTCAGGTTGTTTCACCCCGGAATTATTTCGCGTTCACCCCGTTGTTGCCTAGTGTCACCTGTGGGACTGTTGAAGCACGGAGCATTGTAGAGCCTGTCCGAAACATGATTAAGAAGGTAGATGAAAGAAACTAGAGCTGCACAAAATCGTTTTTCCTCTTCTCTTTAGTGTTATTGTAGGGGCTAAATGATATGCATACATAGGTACAGTTTCATGGATATTGCAGTTGGGGGTTTTGGTGTCTTGTTTGCTTAATTAATCTGATCATTTTGTTGCTGACAGAGAAATGGAGAAATACGGTTTTGGGAAGCCGAATGTATGAAGATTGATGATGCAAACAAGAAACTTTTGTGCCGTCATACCAGTGAAAATAACTTGGTGGGAAACGACGAATTCTCGTTGGATTATGATTATTTAGTTATAGCTGTGGGAGCACAAGTAAACACATTTAACACCCCAGGTGTCCTTGAGAACTGCCACTTCCTGAAGGTAGAGTCATCTTTTGTCATATCATATCATATATATTATAGTAAAAGGGACGATCGGTAGCATTCGGAAACTCTTCCTTTTGTAAATAAAGTCTTTCCGGTTCCCCACTTGAATGCAGGAAGTTGAGGATGCACAGAAGATACGCAGGAGTGTTATCGACTGTTTTGAAAAGGCTGTTCTTCCTGGCTTAACCGAAGAAGAACGAAGGATAAACCTTCATTTTGTAATTGTCGGAGGGGGACCTACTGGTGTGGAGTTTGCAGCAGAGTTGCATGACTTTGTTAAGGAGGATTTGGTCAACTTATATCCTTCAGTTAAAGATTTAGTGAAAATAACAGTGGTTCAATCAGGGGACCATATTCTGAACATGTAAGGGGATACGATTTTTCATTTTATTTCATCGATACGGTCTTTAAATTTCAGTGACTTGAAGACTGAACTATACTCTTTCCTTATGCCAACTATTCTGTTGATCTCTATCTTTTCATTTTGTGGCATATTTTATGTCTAAATTCTAAACATGCAGTGTGACATACAAATTGGACTGCAGTCTATAGACAAAATCACAAATAACTTGTCAGATTCTACACTCTGCAGGTTTGATGAACGAATAAGTTGTTTTGCTGAGCAGAAATTTAGCAGAGATGGTATTGATGTTCAAACCGGATGTCGTGTTATTAGCCTTTCCGATAAGGAAATCACTATGAAGATCAAGTCAACAGGAGAGGTTTGTTCTGTACCCCATGGATTGGTTGTTTGGTCTACTGGTGTTGAGACTCGACCTGTCGTGAAGGACTTCATGGCCCAAATCGGGCAGGTGCGAAAATTCTTTTCCTTTGAAAGGCAAAATTATCTTTATTTGATAGTTTTAGGAACAAAGTACAAATTAGAAGTACCCAAAAATTAGAACTTTTACTTTGCATAAACCCGAAAACAAGACACTACATAAAACGATATCCGGAAAATGGAGTTAACCATCATACTTCACTGGTTTAGAAAACATTGTAAAGTTGAAGTTGGAGTATCCAAATTCATATAGAATCGTCACCTAATCACAAGACGAAAACCGCCACGGTACTTAACAACCGTAATGTCATTATGAGAAGTTATAATTTGAAGTTAAAGTTACTGAATAAAGACAAGAAAAGTGATCCCAAATCCTGATTGAATAGAGGTGTTAGTAATAGCTTCAACTTTGAAGTTGTAGCTGTCTATGATGATTTTGTCTGTACTCTGTAGTCCCTAGGAGTAATAGAGTGTTAATTTCGGACAAACTTACCTCTTACATTCTTGTCTACAATTGTTATGTTTGAAATTAATGGTTGTTTTGCAGTCGGGTCACTTACGATAAGATTCACATTTCAGGCTAATAGACGCGTTCTAGCAACCGATGAATGGTTGAGAGTAAAAGGAAGTGAAAATGTGTATGCCCTTGGTGATTGTGCCACTATAAATCAGCGTAAAGTCATGGTAATTCCCTTTGACTATTTGAGTTTATTTCGACGAAGATTATGGTATGTAATCTTCCATCATGTTCCTTCAGGAAGATATCTCTGCCATATTCAAGGCTGCAGACAAAGATAACTCTGGTTTCTTAACTATTAAAGAATTCGAAGACGTTGTAGATGATATCCTTGAACGGTATCCTCAAGTGAAACACTATTTGAGGAGCAAGCAAATGAGGGATGTAACCGATCTGTTAAAAGATCCCGAGGGGAACAAAAGAGATGAAGTTGACATCGAAGGGTTTAAGTTAGCCCTTGTTCACGCTGATACACAATTGAAAAATCTGCCTGCAACAGCTCAGGTAATTTATCTTTGGCCTTTATCAGCTTCACTGTCGATACACGATCTTATAGTTTGTATCTTCAGGTTGCGGCACAACAAGGTGAATATCTTTCTAAATGCTTCAACCGCAAGTATCTGAGTGAAGATAATCCCGAAGGGCCACGGCGTTTCAGAGGGTCCGGTCGACATCAATTCCGTCCATTTCAGTATGTGCTCTTGTTACATTATACAATCATATGACTGCACCAATAAATATTCATATTGCTTGGAAAAAATGCTAAATTGGATCTTCTTTTATTTCAACTGGAAGATACAAACACTTTGGGCAATTTGCTCCTTTAGGAGGGGAGCAAGCAGCTGCTGAGCTTCCTGGGGACTGGGTTTCCATGGGTCATAGCACACAGTGGCTCTGGTATTCTGTTTATGCAAGGTGAATCCTGGTCTTCGTCTTATCCGTTTGGTATACATTTGCCTAACGGCTCATCACATGCACATTATGGTATGTATAATGAGGGACATCTTTTGACATGATCAATTTTCTCATGCATTCTGGTTCAGCAAACAAGTGAGCTGGCGTACTCGGGTGTTGGTGGTATCCGATTGGACTCGAAGATTCATTTTCGGAAGAGATTCAAGCCGCATTTGAGGCAGCAACATGAGTGAACCTTGTCATAATAAGCTGGGGGGGGGGACTTTTGTCACTCACCAACGTTAGTTATTCATTCGTATGGTGTTTGTGTTTGCATCGGCATCGGTTGTATACGAGTATTACGAGTCGTGTGGACGTATGTAGGCTTTTAATCTTTTCACTGTGCTCTTTCCCTGTTTTGGTGTGTACTGGTCCTTTTTTCCCTATAATACCTATGAAGAAAACAAATGGGGTTGTGCAATGAAAACTTATATTCGATACTTGCCGAGCTCAACTCTGACGCTTTCACGGAGACTTGTACTTCATCCGGCCAACACCTTTGTTATACCACGTGCAATTAACACACAACAAACCTAACTTCCCTTCCCTCTACTTTCTCTTCCGTAATAAATACCATCACCTCCTATATGCCATTTCCTCATCTTCTTCAATTCTTGTCGGCAAGTATTATGACATCAAACAGAGCATGTAGCAATGGCGAGCTCGGCTAATGTCTCCGGCCACGTTGGCTATGCAGAGCATATAAATTTATTATATATCAATTGGTGTCATCCATTTCATTAAATCTAAGTAGAGTAAGTGAATGTCTAAATGTATTTAGGTATATCCGGGCGTGTTCATTTCTCAATTTTAATCAAATTAGTCAACCGAACTAAATTAATTTGGTTAAAATGATTGGTCACTGAATTAGTTTGATTCAAGAAACGATTAAATTTTTAATATTTGGATAACGATTAATTTGATTCGAAATCAGTTAAATAATCGAATTAACTAAATTAGCTAAAAATATTAAATATTAAATATATTATATATTAAATAATATATATTTTAAGATAAAATCCATTATAAATTAATATCCAATTATTTTTAACTGCATTATACCTATTAAATTATCGAGACTCAATTAAATTTTAATCTAAATAAAAGACCTATATTAACTAAAAAATTATAAATTTTTTTTGTCAATTCAATCGGTGAACGAACTACCTAATAAAGCAACAGCCCATACTTTTCTTATATCACCCTAGAACAAGTAAGAGGGTAGTTTTACTATACGACAGTCTAATATAAGGTTAATAAAATATGTTATTAGAAATATTAATATTTTTTTAATATTTCCGGTAGAGCGCTACCTAAAATATTTTTTTACCGAAAATGTTAATTTCGCTATCTAAAATGAATATTTTTGATATTAACATTTTCGGTAGAAAAAGTAACATTGGTAGTGTCCAATATTAATATTTTCGGTAGAAAAAAATAACATTTTAAGTAACGTTCTATCGAAAATCTTAAAAAAATATTAACATTTTCGGTAGAGCCTTTCCTTAACCTTATATTAAACTGTCTTTATTATTCATATTTATCTTCCAGTTAATTTAATTTAGTTTGTCATAAAAATGCTTATAAATGATAACTTTTTAAAAAAACTCTATATATTTTGATTTTTTATTCATCTTATAATTAATTTAATATAGTTAAAAATAAAATAATAACACGGGATAAAAATAAATTATAAAAAATCATATACTCATACTCAATTATAATAATTAACGATGATGTAATATCTTTAATTGAAATTTTTTTTCATTGACAAGTGACAATTTATAATTAATCCACATCTGAATTGCATTATGTTAATATCTATAGTTAGAGTAGTTGCTTAGCTTATCTTGTTTGAATGGTCTAGAATTTAGAAACATAACCTTTTATTAAATTCTGAATAAATTACATAGGCAATTTTTTTTATCGGTGTTTTGTTCATCTCTTTTTCTTTTGTTGATCGGAACAATTTTAATTTTGAAATTAATTTCTAACCACCCATTTTTTATTATCTTTTTTTTATATTGTATCTATATTTTTTTTTCAATAAGTCTACCTATATGACACGTTTTCATATGCTTTTATGACATTTTTTTTATATTTTTTGTATGTTTTTCGGTTGTTTGATTGTTTTTCATTTATCTTTTTTCTAAGGGTTGGTTTGACGTCGTCACGACTGATCAAGATGGTGTTTATCTGTTATCTTGTTGATCTTCCCAGTTTGGACCATCGGATTGAATTTAGATACCTAATTTACGTTCGTGGATAGTTTTTCACGTCGCTCGAGTCTGATTTGTTGTTTATCAGTGATATTTCAATAGTTTGATCATCTTTTTTGGTTCGTTTGCTGGAATGATCAAATATGTTTGTATCTATCTTTGTTCGAATTTCTTGGTCAGATTTTTAATCTTTTCTTATATGGTAGTTTTGTGATGTTAATTACTAGTTTTGTTTAAGAAAAAGAATAAATTACATAGGTGATTCCTCGTTACTATATATTCAATGTCCAAGATCATATCTGAATTAGATTCTAAGCCTGAAAAAGACCCCATCATGGAGAAAGAATCACAAAGGAAACTAATTCAGCTAATTACCCAGAAAAAAAGGGGAAAAAACTGGTTTCACCCACTTAATTATAAGTAGAAGCCATCGAGCTGGTCGTAGAAATCCATTTCTCCATAAAGAAATGGAAACTCGGAAAATTCATACCCAGCAGAATCCAAAGAACTACTGGTACTTGTGTTAGAATTTTTCCAGAAAAATGGTTCTGTCCAGAAACTTCCACTATCTGCCTCGAATGCTTCGAACAAAGCCTTGTTATCGTCATCTGTAACCGAGTCTTTGCTGGACTCAGCCGTGTTATCCTTGGTGTCCGATGAGAATTGGTCGCTTGAAGCCGGTTGTGCCGGCGAATACCATAACGAGCTTTCCAGAATCAATGGAGGGCTTGAAGGATTAATCACACGCTTTGTTTCTTCTTTCTCTTTGCTTCTCCCACGCTTCACGTGTACTTCGACTGGTTCCTGGTTTTCATCTTTCTCGTGTTTTGATTCATTGAAGCGTTTCTTGAGATTCGTGTTCCAATGGTTCTTGACCTCGTTGTCCGTCCGACCAGGCAACTGTGCAGCAATGGCAGACCACTTGTTTCCCAGCGATCCATGTAACCTGATGATCGTCTCTTCTTCTTCCTTGCTGTAATTCCCTCTTTTGACGTTCGGCCTTAAATAGTTCAGCCACCGGAGCCTGCAACTCTTCCCGCACCTCTGCAGACCTGAAGAATAGGGCATGATTTTATGTTAAGAGGTGCCAACTTAAGAACTTTTTACAAAATTTAGCGGAATTAGATTATCGACAAGAAGACAATACCGGCGAACTTGGGGAGTTGTCGCCAATTCCAGCAGCCGTATCTGGTGACATAGGCTTTCAGTTTCCGATCCTCCTCGGGCGTCCATGTTCCTTTCCTCAGTCCACTCTTATCACACGAAGGTGTTCTCGCCATGGTTCCTTGCCTTTGGTTCCTTGTGCTTTCTCTATTTTACAAGCTCAGACTTCAAAAGTTGAGAGGCAATTTATACTCTCCCATGCGTTGGACCAAAACGTGCTGCACGTTTCGATTTCGAAATTTTTAACACTCCTTATTACATTATTACAAAACATCCAGGAAGATTCAGCAGATGTCGCTTTCAGTGTTTGATCACAGTCAAAATTATGTATTATGTCAGATCGATGACTTGGCATAAATTAATACACGGCCGACCTTCGAGGAAGGAAGAAGCAACATAACGTGATGTGTGCACACGACTACACGAGCATTTCGACGAAGGTCAGTTTTCGGTTTCATCATCAGCAGTGGATTCAGCACGTTATTTTAACCTGATTTGCTTCGTGCATAGCCACTGTTGTTTTGAGCTTGAAAATCGCTTTGAATCTTGCACAGAGTTCCATGTCTGTATGCTGCTTTAAGAAACTAAGACATTATCTGCTATGTTTCCATGTTGAATAGCTTCACGTGATTCATACCAATTATGGGCTTTAAATCATGAAGTAATAACTGACCTAGAAGAATAGCTCTAATGATAAAAGATACTATACTTCTTAAATAGTTCGATCCTGATAATATTATTAGTAAGGTTGTACGTGAATTTATTTAATCTAGAAATAAACAGATATTACTCCAAGCATGTTTCGTGAAATAAGATCACGGATATATCCAGAAATATTTTTTAGGGTGGACACATATATTTTAACAAAATAATATTTTTAAATGAGATAGATGCAAATAAAATTTTAGGGTGAGCATTATCCGAAAAATAAGTAATTAATCGAAGAAAACTTATATTTCGGAGTGAGCACAAAAAATTTCATGGTAGACACCATCAGAAGTACACGTGTTATATTTCGGAGTGAGCACAAAAAATTTCATGGTAGACACCATCAGAAGTACACGTGTTCCGTCTTTAAAAGGATATGGCCATCCTCGACATTTCCATCTTTAAAACTTGTCCAGAAGTACACGTGTTCCGTTGTTTACATTTCATGCTCTTTTATGGTATCTTCTTTTGCTCTCGTCATTAAGTTATTTATTTTGAAGTTTAATCAAGTTATTTTTAATAATTTAGATAATTATAAGATAATATTTATTTAAAAATATTTAATCTATTAATAATGTTTATATATTTTGTATAAATATAATTATTCGAACTTATAATCTTAAAGAAAAAAAATATTTTATTTCACTATTAAGACCATTTGATAAGTTTAACTTTCAAATTTAACGAAGTTTTGAATTTAGGAAATATCATAATGATATAGTAATTTCTTTAAACAACATAAGTATTATTTATAAATTATAAGAGTAAACATTATTAATATAAATATTTAAATAAACCGTTTTGTTCGAGAATTGAGTAATTTATTTCATTTATTCAATTTTATAATTGAAGAATAGATAGTTAAGTTCATAAACGGAGGTAAGATTTTGTGTTAAGGAACTTGAACTTTTAAAATTTTAGGGGTAAACTTAAACTTTTAAAATTTTAGTGGCAAAAACATATTTTCAATAAAAAAAATACATAGAAAAAAAATCTAAAATATATAATAATTTTAAAATTTCAGGAGGCGACTGACTTCACCCGCTCCCCTCGGCTAGAGGTGGCAAACGGGTCATTTGGATCGGGTAATTTCGGGTTTAGATTAAATTCGATTTAATTTTGTTCAGATCTGGTTCGGATCTAGTTTGGGTGTACAATGAATCGGATCGGGTCGACTATCGGGTTGAGTGATTATTAGATCGATTATTTTCTGGTTTGGATCAATAACATATCAGTTGCTTTTTTTATCGGTCAATATCGGGTCGGGTCAATACCAGATTGATTGATTTTTGGGTTGAGATAATACCGGATTAATTAGATTTCGGGTCGGGTCAATATCGGATCGGTTG